AAAACCCTTTTGCTTGGTATTTTGGCAGGATTAGGCTAAAGTATGATCTTTTATGAGATTTTGGGATGTAATAGTACTTTTATACGGAAACTCAGGTAGTTCATTATAGTCAATAAAGGAGCTGTTGGGCTAAATCTAATACATTTTTTTCCTCAATAGGTAATTAACAAAATGTCTCCAACATCCCTAAAGATCACACTAAGGCAACTTATGGAGGGATCGTCAAAGACCTTGCAAGAAGTGCTAACTATGGAGTATCAGCTCAGTCAAGCTTGTATGGTAAGAAATTTCTAAAAATAAATAAATAAAAGTTATAAAAGTAATCTACGTTATTATAGAACATGTAAAATTCAGTAAAGTATAAACAAGAACATTAAAATGTATTGTAAATCTACTTTGACAACCCAATAAGCCAGTTAGTTTTAGGCATGTGGAAATATTACCACCCAGATTGTTTATAAGCTTTTAAGAAACAGCACTTCTATTTGCATGTAAATGTTAGACGGTCTATAATCTTGTGTGGAGTTCAGAATAGAAATTAAACATTTTTCAGGCATGGTGTCTGTGATCTTGGGCAAGAAGCATGAACACTCTAATTCTAAGTCCCCTTGTTAATAAAATAAGGAATATTATAAGCAAATATATATAACATAAATGCACAGATGGAAGTCATTAGCCTGTCATATCTATTTTAAAGTTTATTATTTAAAATTTTTCATGACAGACAGACAGGTGCACCCATACCCCACACACACACATAGGGTCTCGCCATGCTGTGATTGTCCCCACAGCCTTCCAGCGAGCCAGAAGCACCCGTGCACGTGTGCATGTCTGGTGTGTTTCAAGTTGACCTGGAAACCGATCCCAGTCTTCCATGTGGCCCCAGCTTTGCGGAGTGTCACACCAGCACCTATACTACTATGGCTAGACCATTCTGTCACGTATTTTAATTCATAGAGTAGCATTAACAGTGCCACTGTATATATAAAGTAGGTAGCAATAACATAGAATATTTACTCATGAAACATTTCAGAGTCATAGTTTTTTCTTTTTCTAGATTATAAACTCTTGCAAGGCAGAATTACATGGCTAGAAGTCTCTTAAGAAGCAACATGCTATTTAGATGAGTAAACTTACGGCCTAAAGAGAGTATCTGGTTTAATAACCAGAACGAGGCATTCCTAATGGACTTTAAAATAGTTGTTAAGACATTCAAACTAACTAGAAATAGAAGAAATGGAGACAAGGCGTGGAGACCACTGTTTCTTCCGGAAGCAGACAGAGGGTAGAAGCTGTGGGCTCTGATGAGGTTCCTTTTTGTATTTTGTAAGATGGAAGATACCCGCACATGTTTGTAAATTACTGAGACTGATCCAATAGAGAAAAAAGATTATGATGATCATAGCTAATAATAATGAACACTTAGTGTGTGTCATACATTCTGCTGGATATGGCTTAAAATAATCCTGTGATGGATGAACTGATAATGCCATTTCATGGAAGGAAACTGGAGGTTGGAGAAATGACTTGCCTAAGGTCACATAGTTATTGTGTAGTGGAAGCAGGGTGTGAACCCAGACATTTGATCTGCATGCACTTAACCACTGGATTAGACCGACTGCCTACACTAAGGATGCCAGGGAAAGCAAGAGAAGTGGATACACTTCTCCAAGTCCTTGAGAGAAGGCAAGAAAGGATGTGAATTACAATGCAGGGAAGAGTGGTCTTTGAAAGGAGAATGGCCCCTTCCTCCGCAGTCATGAAAGAGAAGACAGGTGCCGAAGGCCGCAGGTGTTTTAGTGGGGGGAAGACAAGAGCATTCACGTCTGAGAGCTTGTCTGCTTTGTAATGCAGTAGGAGGCCAAGTCATTAGCTGGGACTATAGTGAGAGTAGTTTGTGCTCTCTGAGGTAGATGTTGAAAGTCAGAAGATAATTGACATCACTATGTTGGTGAGTGTGAGGAGATCCTGGATTGCTGAGCGGTTTCCCATGCCTGCTCGAGATTTGTGATTATGAATTTTAAGGGAGTCCAGTCATACTTGTGTGACTTTCTGCTGCATGATATGGCTGTGGAAGCAGAGGTAAATGATGGGGTTCAGCTGTGCATAAAAGAAAAACAGCTTCGAGGGAGACGAGAGCATATTCAAGGGACAGTAGGCAGTGGACCAAGGAAGCTGGATGAAGAGCAAAGTGAGGCCCGCCTGGGCTGGAGAACCTTGTCCTCCCAGTGGACCTTGGTAAGATCTGAGTTTGCAGCAGTGGCTATAGCTGAGCAGAGATTAGAATCAGGAGAGGACCAGAAAGCTGGTTATCAGAGACAGATGAGTGTTACAGCTCGGGTTGTGGTAATGGGAATGGGAGGTGGACGTGGGTGGAAAAAAGGGAAGATCACTAGGAAATCGGACACTCAGAAATTGCCCCATTTAATCTCAATTTCCTTTCAGAGAGGTCATGACTTCCACGAAGGTGTTAGAGCTGGTAAGTGGCAAATGGCTGTGTTTCCTTCCTGGCTATTAGGGAAGCAGAATTTGTGAGCATGTATTGTTAAAGACGATCGTTGTTTTATTAGTGAAAATTAAACTTCTATAAAGATTACAAAATTGTGTACTTAAAATAGGACAGTCTGGGATAAAAGGGAAGATGAATCTTTAATGTCATTTTAAAAATTCACATAACTTGGTCACTGGCCCCCAGTTTATGTGTAACAGGTAATCCTTTTCCTGCAGTCAGCCACATGAGCTGCCTCTGACGAGTACAGAGTGAGCCTGTAAACTCATCCTGGTGCCCAGGCCTGTGAAACATGCATTCACTCCTTTACAAAAAGCCTTCAAGTCCCCTCCTCTCCCTTTCTTTTGTACTAGGGCCTGGTAAAATCTATCTCTTTGGGGGCCAGCAGTTAGCATAATGGCTGTGTTGCTGGACTCTCACATAGTCGACTGCGGTTCTAGTCCCGGACCCGGTGGCTTAAACTTACGCCAGGCGCGTGTGCGTGTGTGCCCAAGATCCCGAGAGGAGAATGGAGGAGAAAGGATTGCAGCATGGCCTTCCCCCCGGGGGGTGTTTTCTTGCTTTTTGTCTCTCTGTCTCTCTATCTCTGTCTGGCAAGCACATGTGCCCTATAGCAAAAACCTCTCCAAAAAAAAAAAAAAAATCTATCTCTTTGTCTATACCCGAGCAGTTCTCCATTGCTGGGGGAAAAACATGACATAATCTACTAATGGTCTTAATACTTTGCACTTTATCATCTCCAAAGTCAGCATATTTAGAAAAAGCAAGTGAAATGGTTGATTTTTTTTTCCTATGAAACTTGACAACAATTCCTTTTTATGTATAGCCCTTATCCCTATAAAGAGCTGTTATTTATGTTGTATAACATGAAGTTTCTCTCTGTATATATTTTTATAATTTTCTTACATTTGTATTAATTATTTTAACATAGTACAGATTCTGGATATACTTTCTTATCTGAATAATAAATTATATTCTCTGGTCTCTAAGTTCTCATAAACATCAGTGCTGTAGACGTTTCTTCATTTCTCACCTAACATACCATCATCAAAGCAGTTTGTTCTCATCCTTTTAGAAGACACACGTGGCTGAATCCAGAGGAGATGGCTATTTGTTTTATAGGAACAAAGTAGAATATGCACTAACCCACTAATTCGCTAGATAGTCTTGCTGGATTCAGGTGGATTGGAGCCTAGAACTCTGATTTTAGGGGGCCTCTGAGCTACTTGGGTTATGTCGCTAATGTGTCTGTTTTACATCACAACATCCCTTCTTAAAAAAAAAAAGAAAAAAGAATTTTTAGATAAACACCTCCTAGTTATTTTAAGGGAAAAAAGTTGAAGCCAAAGAACGTCGAAGTTTAGATTCATGAAGTGAAGAGAACAATCTCATTATTTGGAAAGCGATATGTATTCTAAGTAAAACTGTTTAGTGTTCTCACATAATCAAATGTTTGCTACAATTTGCAATTTATGCAGAATGTTAGCAAATTAGATAAAATAGGCTAGCAAATTAGGGAAATGGTTATTCTTTAACATCTAAAATAAACTTTCTGATTAGAGAAGTAAAAATCAATTATCTTGATAGAGCTAGATAGCCACCAAGTAGAGACTGGAGTGTGTGCGTATCTCAGGAGGCCTTTGGAAAGATCTGAGCTGCCTGCATGGCATGAACTTAAGTTAGATCTGTTCAAGATAAAAGATTTTGTTAGCTTGAAATAAAATAATGTACAGATTTGATTAATATACTCTTTGCTTTTGCTCTTCAGTGGTATTTCAAAGAGACAGATATTCTAGGCCAGAGAATTTAAAGGGGAAGAGATTCTTGAAAGAATGTCCCAGGATTCTTCTTTGTTTACACTGTCCAGGAAATACAAAACATTGAACTGGCCTAGAGATCCAAACTCAGTGTTTAATATCAGATACTGGCATTCCATAGTAGGCAACCAAACCTTAACCAACCTCCAGTATTCTATTTACATTCTTCACAAGAAATTAATGTGTATTTTAAGCAATGGTAAAATTTACAACCATAGCTGTACCTTTTTCAACTTTATTTTTTTGAGAGGTTTTTGCTATAGGGTGCATGTGCTCGCCAGAAAGACAGAGACAGACCGAGAGACAGAAAGCAAAAAATCACCCTTCATGGGGGATGGCCACACCGCAATCCCTTCTCCTCTCAGGATCTTGGACACACACGCACATGCGCCCAATGTGAGTTTAAGCCACTGGGTCCGGGATTCAAACTGCAGTTGACTACATGGGAGTCCATTGGCATAGCCATTATGCCAACTGCTGGTCCCCTCCTTTTCAACTTTTTAAGTTAATTGTAGATTTACATGCAGTTGTAAAAACTGATGGAGAGATCCTGGATATCCTCTGCCTGATTTCTGAAATGAGAACATTTGTGTGGCTGTAACCTGCTATCACAGCCCGGAAATGGACAGTGCCTTCCCTGTTAGGAGCGGTTACAGACTGCCTCATGCTTAGAGTCCTGTGGGGATACTGTGCGGCGACACTAAGTGATGACTGCCCTGAAAAGGGAGAAGTAGGTTTCATGATAAGGTATAGGCGGTTTGATTTTATAATTCAGAGCTGTCTGAACTACAGGATTCTGCAGTATCCACATATAATTATTTATATAGTCCCTATCCCTTTACCTGAAGCATTAAGGGAACATTAATTTTCCTCCCAAAACCCAGTGTGGAGAAGTTAGAAAGCAGACCTGGGGCCTCTGCCCTTCTTTGCCTTCCCTTTAAAGCACACCAACTCTGGCTTCAGCTGTTTTGTAATATGAAGATTTGACTTATGGTTTTGTTTGAAAAAAAATGAAAGAATGTTCTAATGTTTAAACGACTGGATTAGTTCAGTAGGCTTTATTTAAAGCTAGAGGCATGAGACTTAAAAGGTTCAGAAATATCCACATTGGTCATCAAAACCATGGTGCTATTCATCCAAGTTTCAGGGGTTTTAATCTAGAAGAAAAGCAGAACACGTACAAAATTTAAACTCTGCAGGACAAAAAACCAATGTGTTATTGAAAAGATATGTCTAGTACAAGATAGTTTCTGGCAATTCACTAATTAAAATGTAGTAATACCAGAAAGAAAGGTACTGATATCTATCTTTTCTTGACAGTTTTAATTGACAAAGACCAGTGTCCAAAGTGGAAACCAGCTGATCTGAAAGAAGTTACTGATGAAGATTTGAAGACTTACTTTAAATCTCCAGAAAGTGGTGATTTGAAATTTTGAGGTGACTGGCCTTGTAAGGTATATTTCCGAGTGGAGTTGGCAGTCTAGAGCTCATGGGCCAAGTTGGCCTGCTGCCTGTTCTGATACGCTCTGCATGCTAACAACGGCCTCTGCATTTTTAAGCTGTTGGGCAATAAATCAAAGGCTAATATTTCATGACATGTGACTACTCCATGAACTTCAAATATCAGTGTTCATAAATAAAGTTTTATTGGAACACAGCCGCATTCTTCTGATTATCAATGGCTACTTTGAGTAGTTGCAACAGAGACTGTATGACTGCAAAGCCTAAAATATTTACTATCTGGCCCTGCCAGAAAAAGTCTGCTAACCAGTGATTTATAGGGTTGTTGAAAAAGTCATGACACATTTTTACATAGAAAAACAGAAAATATCTCATGACTTTCCCTCTGACCTAATAGAAGATGTGAAAATTTGAGGTCATTAGTGGTTTGAGTCCCGGACCCAGCAGCTTAAGCTCACGCTGCGCATGGTATGTGTGTTTCTAAGATCCTGAGAGGAGAATGGAGGAGAAGGGATTGCGTTGTGGCCATACCCCCTGGGGGGGTGATGTCTCGCTTTCTGTTTCTCTGTCGCTCTCTGTCTTTCTGGCGAGCGCACGCACCCTATAGCAAAAAACCTCTCCCCCCAAAAAAAAAAAATTGAGATTAGAGTTTTCTTTTTTCCCCCATAGGGTGAATGTGCTAATCAGAGAGAGAAGATGAGAAATCACCCCATCAGGAGGAATGGCCACACCACAATCCCTTCTCTTTCATTTTCCTTTAGATTTTGGGCATGCATGCACATGTTCCTGGTGTGATTTTTAAGCCGCTGAGTCCAGAATTCAAACCTCAGTCGACCATGTGGGAATCCAGCTCCTTAACCACCATGCCACCTGCTGGCCCCAAGTTAGCATTTATAACGGAAATGAGAACTTTATGTTTGAATTTCAGTAATGATTTATATGTTGATTAAATAAACATATAGATTATCAAAAATAAAGGCCCTGATTTTTTTGGGGGGGTGATACTGTGTTCATGTCTCATAGAATTTCTCCATGTAAGAGTGTATTTCCTAATAAATGAATTATTACTTTAGCTGAAGAGCTCCTTTTATAAACATTAGAACTCTTGGGCAGAGAGAAAAGGTTATTACGAAGTTACCTCTCCAGTATTTTTAACTCAGTCTTGGTGTCTCAGGAATCAGCATACCTTTATGTAGTGAAAGTGAAAGCATTATTTCTGCAATATTTGTTAAGCTGGCAAAATTAGGAAACTTAAATGTCTAAGATAGAGACACTCTTTTTGTAATTTATATCAAACCTTTGTTTGTTAACAGTTAAATTGTCCTTATACAAAGTTCAAGTCAGTAGGAAAAAATGAACCAAAAACAAGATTTAGTTTCAGATAGAATTACCTTCAATAGTTGACAAAATAAGTATTTTTTAAGCTGTGTGATAAACTGTGAGGTGTTCCAGGACCTTAAAGTTTACATAAGAATTTTCTTTAAAGGTCAGTTTATGATTTATTTTAACTTGTTATAATTTCTCAATCATTTCATTCCCCTTAAGGTTTATAAGAACAAAAAGACAACAGAACTGGACAAGACATCAAAGAGTATGTTCTGTACCTGTCTCAGAGACGAGGAAATGGTAGCCCAGAAGATACTGCTTCATATTTTCTCAGTTCTTAATCTAGTTTCTTTTTTTAAGAATTGTTTTATTTAACTTTGTGTTTTTTAATTTGATCAGAGAGGGACAGAGTAAGCGATAAAGAGAGAGAATGGAACTGAGAAAGCAAGCCACCAGGTCCAGGACTCGAAACGTGGTCGGCCATGTGGGAATCCAGCACCCTTAACCACCACACCACCTGCTGGCCCCCAGTTCTCAATCTATTTGACATGAAACTTTTTTTTTCCCCAAAAAATACAGGAACAAATTCGGAACGAAGATGCCAAGATACTGAATACATTTGCATTCTTAAAGCACCTACATCAGACCTAAATGACCCAATAAATTATTTGTATAAACGGATTTTCATCACTTTATATTTGTTAGCAGTGCAGGCAATGTTAAGTCTTCCATGTTGTCAAATAATTTGAAAGTATGCAATATTGAAAAGTCTTTATTTACTTCTATTAAATTAATAACTCAGTTAAGTAGTTACAACTGGACTTTTATTGTACAGTTACCAAAAAAAATGTTTTTAACAAAAATAATTGGAAAAAAATATACCACTTCATAGCTAAGTCTTACAGGGAAAAGAATTTGCAAACCAAACTTGGGTTTTGTAAGTTGAGATTTGCTAGTGCTTCTTTGTGCCCCTGGATCCAAGGAAGACATGTCCTATTTGGCCATTCAAACACAGGACGAAGGCATTATAATTAAGTAAATTATATATTTGTTAGAACTTTGTTTTCAAATTATTTTTAATTCCTTACTTCAGAGTTTTAAAACTATGTAATATAAAAGTATAGTACCCCATTACATAAAATGCCAATGATAGTAGGATATATGAGTATCATGCTACTAGATTCAGTATGTTTATTTTTTAATACTAATAAGGCAATTTGACATGAATTATTCCTTTGGGACTAAGATGATAATCATTTGTCCCCTTCAGAACTGTGCTTTTAGTACTTGCTAATAAGCTTAGGTAGTTTGCAAAGAACAGATAAGGCAACTGAAAGTGGAGAATGCTAGGATCAAAGGCATGTAAGTAAAAGGTAGCAGTGAGAGAGGCAGGGAAACAGCCCTACTGCCTGGTGTGGTCTCTGACGTCTGTGTAAATAAGGAATTGGCACACCGATTCCTTTGACGATCTGCTTCCGCAGTTGCCTCCCGGAGGCTCTCTGCTATGCTGGTAGAGGCTCACCGGCCCATGCACTGGGTGTTCCAAATGTTGCCCTTTCTCGAGCTAAAAATTCTGCAGCCTTCTGTTTTATATGCCTCCTTCTTCCTCAGACAGTGCCTCTACTCTTTTAACTTCCATGAAAAACCTTCAAAAGGAAATGAAGCCAGTACAGGCTGAGCATCCCTTCCTTGTCTGAAATGCTTGGGACTAAAAATGTTTCAGGTTTAGGCTTTTTTTCTCCCCAGAATTTATGATATTTTCATAGTATAAAATGAAATAACTTGGGGATTGGTCCCAATACTAAACATGAAATTGACTTATGTTTTATATAAACCTATGCACATAGCCTGAAGGTATTTTATACAATATTTTAAGTAATTTTGTCCATAAAACAAAGTTTGTGCACTCTGACCCATCAGAAAGCAAAGTCATCACTACCTTAGCCTCCATGTGGACTCTGTGATTGTCTGGCTTCACCATCATCCCTGACTCTGAATTTATTTGCTACCAAGAAGCATTTTCTTATATTTATTCACATGTAAAATTGGGTGTGACATTTTCCACTTACAGTATCATATTAGTGCTCAAAAAGTTTTGGATTTTTGGATTGGAGATGCTCATCCTGTATTTTTTTTTGGAGAGATTTTCACCGTAGGGCGTGTGCGCTCGCCAGACAGACAGAGACATAGAAACAGAAAGCGAGAAATCACCCCCCAGGGGGGATGGTCACGCCGCAATCCCTTCTCCTCCATTCTCCTCTCGGGACCTTGGGCACACACGCACACGCGCCCGGCGTGAGTTTTAAGCCACCGGGTCCGGGACACGAACCGCAGTCGACTACGTGGGAGTCCAGCGACATAGCCATTACGCTAACTGCTGGTTCCCCTCATCCTGTATTTTAACATATAGGTATGAAAGGCTGTTAATTACTCAGTCCAAGACGTTCTCATCCATCTTGTCAAGGCCAGACTATAGCTTGGTGGCGTAACTGTCGCATGTAGTACAAGTTTGTTTCTTTAGCTCTCTCCTTCTCCCGCTGTTACCAATTTGACTCATTCACCACCTCCCTGATTATACAGGCCATGTATTCCTCATTCACAGACCAACATATAAAACAGTATATATTTCAAAGATAAGTCTCTTGGAAGAAAGTGCACACAAGATATACTCTATTAAAATGTGATTCAGGAGTTGGGGGAGTGATCAGTGACAAGAACATCCTACCATGTTGCTGTAAGGGGGTAGCAACAGAGCTCAGACTTCAAGCTCAGTCCATCAGGCATCCCCGTTACACCCCTAGGAAACAGGGTCCTAGGGCAAAGAAGAAACCTGAAATTTGCATGTTTAGATGTAATCAAACCCCTCTATGTCCTTGTATGTTTCAAAAAATTTAGTATGGCATGCAGTTTATATGGCTTTGTTCTCACCATAGTATTTTTTTTATATGTGTAGTTAAATCTTTTAAACAGCAAATAACCTTGCACCAACAGTGTTGTTACTTAAGATATAATATGAATGAAAAACATCTAGGCTTTGGTCTGAGTCATTAGTATAGACACTCAAAAACCTCAGCTTCTCTTTGTTAGAATTGTGTTTTGTACTGATGGGAAACAGTCTGAGCCTTTTGACTTCAGAGCTTTGTCTGAACAGGAGTGGGCTATTTTTTTTTTTCCTGGTATGTAAGTTGTCAGATCACAAGTACAACAGGACAGTACAAATCCTGAGACTAGGTGAAATTAAAGTATAAAGATCAGATTTCCTAAGGCAACTGAAGGAGGGCATATCACTCATTTCAGATATCTTTTTCTTTGCTCATGTAACTTGGAGAATTCACTCTTATTTGATTGTGGGTTTCAAAGTATTTGTTAAAATTAGAGGTAGCTTTTCTGCCTGCCTATCAGGCCAAATATGAATTTATCTTATAGAGGTCACACTTTCCTTAAGATTTCAATGACAATGACATATTGGATCTAATTTTGTTTCCAATTAAACTCACTGTATAGTCAGTCTGGATGAAATTATATTCTAGTCTGGAGAGTCAGTTCCAATTTTCTTACATGTTTTCTTTGCATCTTCCTCCCCTTCTCTCAAATTTTCTTTTACCTTCAAACAGTATTTAATCCTTTAATAAAAGGGGAGGGGATATGTGTGTGTACTGTGACAATAGAAATTAAAAAGAAAGCAAATGAAATAGCTTCCTCAAAAGGCAGCCAAATTTGTGAAAATAACATATATGGCTATAAAGATTATGGACATGTGTTACCATGGGTACTCTTCTTGGAAGAGTGTTCTGTCTTTTCTGTTTTGTAATACAATTGTAAATTCTCAGGCACTATCTGATCCCACAGTAATTTGAATGGTGACTGTCCCACCAGTCAGCAAAGAAACTGGGGACCAGTGCCTACATATCAGCCCAGTCCTCTGCATCTCTGAGGGAGTAAAATTTAATACACAATTAATACAGAAAGCAGATTCTGCTTTCTATCTTGCAGAGTAGGCTGGTTTTTGTTTGTTTTTCATTTTTGCTTTAGAGTGTATACACTCACCAGAGAAATACAGAAGGGGGGGTGAGAAAGAGAGAGAGTGTGTGCACGCACCCCCTCAGGGGATGGCCATGCTGTAGTCCCTTCTCCATTTTCCTCTCTGGATTTTGGGCATACCATGTACATGTGGTGTATTTTTCAAGCCACTAGGTCTGGGATTTGAAACATGACCTTGCCAAGTGGGGTCCAGATGCCTTAACCTCGATACCATCTGCTGGCCCCCACTGGGCTTCTTTATTCAGTTCTAAACATTAATATCATGACATCTGTAACTCATTTTTTTAAAAGATGGTTTTAAATGCAAAGTCTAAGTAATCTAGTAACAACTATAGTTAGTTCGGGCCCTGAGGTTCAAGGTAGTAGTTATACTTTTATCTACAAAAATAAATATTTTAATAAGGACAGGGTTCAAGGTGACCACTTCTACATGGGTTGCTTTCTAAAGCTAAATCATTTGTATCAAGAAATGGGGATCCTTGACACAAATAATTTTATCAAACAAGACTCACTGGTGATCACTATGGCTTGAGTGCCATTCCTTTGCTAAGGCATTCTGAGAAAAACCCTTTCACTTCTGGGTTTTGGGTTCAGATGAACAGAAATAAGTTACCATTTGGAACTTTTCATGCTTCAGCATTTTCTTTGGGGATGCCATTAATGCCTCCGGAAGAAAGTGGTATGACATACGTCAGCTGATCCTGAGTGCCACTCTATTCAGCCCCTTTAGATGATTAATATTCAAGACCAAGTAGGTAGGATTGCTGTTAACACAGAACTGCTTAAAACACGTTTCACCTTACGGATGCCTACACTAGTGACATTATCCTAGACATGTTTTTACATCCAGGTGGAGTTATTTGTACTTACACCAGCTTTTGCTTTTGTTTCATATATTTAAGCTAGCACCAACTATATCCATAGTTCCCGGAAGTGTCATCATCCTACAGCATCAAGGCCCCTCGCTCTCGATGTATGGGATGTCATAGTACTTGATGTTGTTGCATGCCCACTGCTGCAAGGCCTCACACAAGATTTCCTGGGACAGCCGGTGTGCATATTCTAAGATTGCCATATTGGTCCCCGGAGGTTCCTTGACTTCCTCTTTGATAATAACAGGAGAAGGTATCCTAGGTAGAAATCTCTCTTCTGGCATAAAGCCTTCTTCACTTTCATTCTGCTTCTCAGTCTCAAATGTGGTTGGAAATGGGAAAGTTTGCTTTGATTTTATGCAGCCCATGTTATAAAGAGCTTTGTGTGAAAGCAGTAGCAAAGACTACTTCAGCAGCATCTTTGGAAAACAAGGGTTCATCCACGTGGTGTTGACCAGTGCTTTCCCCTCACGGCCACTTCAGTATCCAGTGTTCCCTTTCACCATTCTTCACATGAAGTGTTTATCTGTCAAAAGAAGGGAGGTGTCATTTTGAACTTACAGAATGCAAAATGTACAATTTGGTGGCCTGTTAAAAGTCCATTTAACTACTTTGGTCACTTGAAGGAAATGTAAATAAAAAACAGCATTATCTTATCAATTGAAGGAAAAGATATTCAGTAAATTGGCAACTTATAAAATAGGGAAACATTGTTTCAAGATACTGACAATTTTATAAAACTGAAAACAGAGGTGTCAACTTAGCTTTGTCTGCACTCAGAATAAGCAAACAATAGTTCTAGGACTAAATTCTATCTGCCTATTTTTAAAATAAAGTTGGTCAGAATGCAGTCACGTTCACTTGTTTATATAATATCTAAGACTACTTTTGTCTTAAAATGGCAAATAGTTGTAATGGAGACTGTGGCCCCACAAAGCTTAAAATATTTATTCTTTGGCCCTTTTACAGAATTTTTTTTCCTCCCTCCTCCCTTTCTCCTCCCTCTCCCCTCCTTCTCTCTATCCTTCTTTCCCTTCCCTTCCCTTCCTTCCCCCATTTATTTGCCAAAGGGTACATGTACTCAAGAGCAAGATGCAGGGAGAGGAAGGCAGCACCACTAGTGGGTCACGGTCACATTGAATCCCTTCCCCTCCCTTCTCCATCCTGTTGTGATTTGGGAGCACACGCACATCCACCTGGCACATTTTTTAAGCTGCCAGGACTGGCTAGTCCAATATTTTGTTACAGGAGCCTGAACGGAGTAAGATATGTTTTGTGTTGCAGCTACAGCACCAGGACCTTGCTGTTTGAGTCCCAGACCTGGTGGCTTGAAAAATACATTAGGCATGTGTGCTTGTGTGCTCAGAATTCCCAAAGGATTGGGAGATGGAGAAGGGATCGCAGTGTGACCATTCTCCACGGGGAGTGCTTTCTCACTTTACCTCAATCTCTCTCTGTCTCTCTTTAACAAGCACATGGGCCTTTTGGCAAATTCAATTAAAAAAAAAAAAAAACAACTTCTTAGCAACTCAGCAAAACAGGAAAATGAGGAACTTCTTCAAACTAGTATTAATGGGGAAAGACTGAACACTCTTCTACAATAGGAACAAATTCCTACTCATTGTGAGGAGAGGAGGAGGGAGGGAAGAAATACAAAGCATAAAGACTGAGAGGCAGTAAAACGTTGCCTTCACTTACAGATGACAATCATATATGTAGATAATCCTGAGGACTATACCCCCCCCCAAAAAAAATGCCTAGAGTAAGTAATTTTAGCAAGGTCTTGATATAAAATTGATGTCTAAAACTCAAATGTATTTCTGTATACTTAGTAATTGGAAGATAAAATAATCTGTAATAGCACCAAAATACGAACACTTAGGGCTTAAATTTAACAAAGTAAATAAAAGAAAACTAGCAGGTATATTGTGTATGTTGTACATGAAAAGTGTAGATTCTTACTGACAGAAAGAACTGAGATAAACAATTCAGCACTTAATGTCATTATGATGTCAGTTCTTCCCAAATTGATATATATATATATATATTTAGTGCAATTCCAGCAGGCATTTTGTAGACCTTGACAAGGCAGATTCTAAAATTCCAATGAAAACCATAGCAGAGGCCCAGCTGCTACAGTCCGGCAATACTGTAGTCAGTGTCCTGTAAGACTGGAAGCCACATGACCAATCCCAGGTTCAGATCCCAGGGGTGGCCTGAAAACATAGCAGGTATATATGGGGTCCCAGAATCCTGAGGAGCTGGGGAGCTGGGGATGGAAAGGGGATGGTGGCAGGATGAGACTTTTCTTTTTTTCTTTTTTTTTTTTTTTTTTTTTTTGGTATCGTCCTTAGGATTGTCTGTGTACACAATTATGTCATCAGGAAGTAGAGGCATTTTTTTCTCTCTCTCAGTATTTATGCTTTGTATTTCTCCCTTCTCGCCTCCTCTCTTCACACGGAGTAGGACCTGCAGTACAATATTAAATAGAAATCTTGAGAATAAACACCATTGCTTTATTGCTACCTTAGGGGAAAAGTGTTCAGTCTTTCCCCACTAACATTAGTTTGAGGAAATTCCTCCTATTGCCTTCTCTCTCTCATATGCAGGTGATATGAAAGGAAGAAGGAAATGAAGGAAAGGAGGGAGGGATGAAGGGATGGGGAAAGAGGGAAGGAAGAAAGGGAGGGACATTGGTCTCAGCAGACTTTGTTATAGATACAGACAATCTGATTCTAAATTGTATGGAAATACAGAGAAACTAGAATTGCCAAAATGATTTTGAGAGAGAAGAACAAAGATGGAGGACACACATTGTTCAAATTTAAGGATGACTATAGTGCTACACTAATCAAGACAGTGGCCTATTAACAAAGGCTAGACACAAATCTATGGCGCAGAACAGAGCAGAATAGAGCCACACTAGTATGGGCTACTGACTTTTGCTAGTGGGAGTATAAAATAGTAGTCACTTTGAAGAATTTTTTGACTGCTTCTTATAAAGTACTACACAGCATGAGTTACCTTCAAAATTCATGAGTTGAAATTTGGTTCCTATTGTGAAGGGATTAAGAGGGTGAAAATGTATGCTGCTTGAAAGGCAGGATATTTGAGACTGGGAGAGGTGAGGATTGACGCCTGCAGTTCAGAGGAGGAGACACAGACACATCCTCTGCTCAAGCTCTTGACATATGATACCCTCCTTACCTCAGGATTCTGCAGAGTTCCCACCAAAATGACCCTTACCAGATGTGGCCCCCTTGATGCTAGACCTGATATCGTGGCCTAATTACTATTATTATATATTTTTAGAGGTTTTTGCCTTAGGACTTGTGTGCTCACCAGGGAGAGGGAGGGAGAGAGAGAGACAGAGACAGTGAAAGAGAAGTGAGAAATGACCCTCCACCCCCAGGGAAGATGGCCATGTGACAATCCCTTTTCCTCCATTCTCCTCCTGGGATCTTGGGCACACACGCACATGGCACCCAGCATAATTTTCAAGCCACTGGGTCTGGGACTCAAACCATGGCCGGCCATGTGGGTGACCAGTGACATAACTGCTATGCCATCTGCCTGTCCCAAATCTCTTTCTTTATAAATGAATGAGTTTCAGGTATTTAGTTATTAAGTAACAGAAAACTGATTAAAACTCAGTTACTAATGCACTTACCTTGTGAACCAGTCATTCATATCTAGGTATTTATGAGAAAAATGGGAACATGTCTATTAACAAAACTTGTATATCAATATCCATAGCAGCTTTATTCACAATAGCCAAAGCTGTAATGTCCATCAGTAGGCAAATGGATAAATGAATCAGGAATATTCTCAAAATGGAATACCACTTGACAATTTAAGAAAAAAAGAAATTCTTGATACATGCGACAACATGGATAACTCAGAAATAACGTTGAGAATAATCTCTGAAACATAAATTGAGCCAGATACAAAATACTGATCATATTACATGAATTTCCAGATTGGACAGTACCAGCTCCATGAGTAGAAGCATAATTGGTTCCTTAGGATGGGAGGTGGTAAGGGCTGCTTAGAAGAGGACATGAAAGAACTTTCTGGGTGAGAGAGTGTTCAATATTTTGATCGAGATGTTTATTACATGACTGTATACATTTGTCCAAACTTGCCAAAGTGTACCCTTAACATCTGTGTACATCACTGCAGTTTTTGTTATTATAGTAAAATATAAGAACAGCTTTTAAGAACGTTCTGGGAAACCTGAAATCATAGGACTGATATGTTTGTACCTAAAAAGACTACCTGCTTGAATCAGTCACCACCAAGTTTTCAATTCAGTCTAAAGCAGGAATTGTAAAGTGATTGGGCAACATCCCGAGCATAGGCCAGCTCACGGTGCCATTGCCCTCCAATACTAGCCTTGTTTCCTTTGTAATCTGGCCTGCAACCAACCTAAACTCAGTGGTCATATGCTTCTGGACCTACAGAAGAACAAGAAGGCTGCTCCTATCTCCAACTGCCAGTTCCAAGGCTTGCTTTATTTCTCACTTCCATTGGGAACATGTAGAGTGCTTTGATTTAGAATGATGGCAATAAAAGAAACCAGTTTGGAAGTTGGATGTGAGAGTCCTTTGTCCTTATTAATGCTGTTCTTGAACTTGGAGCTAAGGGGAGTGGAGTGGGGAGAGGGAGATATAACCTTATTCCAAGAGCAAGGTTAGGAATACTGCAACCGTCACAAAACTCTCCCATTGGTAGGGAACCAGCAGTTAGCGTAATGGCTATGTCGCTGGACTCCCACGTAGTCGACCGCGGTTCGTGTCCCAGACCCGGTGGCTTAAAACTCACGCCGGGCGCGTGTGCGTGCGTGCCCAAGATCCCGAGAGGAGAATGGAGGAGACGAACTCCCAGTACAGTAAAAATCTCTAAAAAAAAAAAAAAAAACTCTCCCATTGGTTTGACCATGGCTAGGGCTCAGAATGGGACACCTCACCCCAAAATATGACTGTAGGAGGTCAGAATATGCCACCCCAGAATTTACTTCTTTGGCATTTTTGAGCTGGTTATTCTGAGAACTATAGACACTTGGAATAGCTCTGAAAAGCTGTCCTTTTATAAAAGAAATGTATATCTATAAATAGAAACAATAGCCACAGGAGTCACATCCACCAGGGAATATCTTATCATAGGAGTGGAGACTGCAGGTCTACACCTTCCCCAGGCAGACTTTGTCATAGGCTCTCATCTATCCTGATGGGCTGTTCTAAGACAACTTTTATTACCTGAGAGACATGTAATTTGCATAATAAGACAACCCTTGTGGTCATATATATCTTCCCTTCCCTTCCCATAACCTGTTGGCACCTCTCAGATGCCCTAAGCCCTTCTTCCTCTCTGTAATTCAGGGAAACTACATAAACTTCAATCATCTGACCCTTTTTTGAGTTTTATATTTTGTGGGGGAGACCTGTGGATATGCACATAAATATAATGGCTTTTCTTTTCTTAATCTATTATCTGTTTTATCTCATAGTCTCCACTAGTGAACCT